GCGTGGTTTGACTTCTATTTTGGGGGGGCAAGGGCCAGCGGGGCTCGGGCCAGCTCCACACAGCAGGGTCCAGGGAGGGAGCGCCACCTCCACCTCCTAACTCATCTCAGTGGGCCATCCACTGCCTGGGGCTGTGTGCCAATGGCTGCTCCACGAGGGCTCTGCTGGCCCCAGAACCGGGTCCCCACCTGGGTAACTCTGACCAGCTGCGGGAGCAGTCAAAGGGAACTGAGGAACAGCTGCAAACCCAGGTGCCAGCAGCAGATGGGCAAATGTCACGGCTGCCCACTCCATGGCACCACCAGCCAGAGGAGTAGCTGCCCCTCACTGTCTGGCTCCAGCTTCCCGTCTAGGATCTGGCCAGAGGGTGAGAGCTGAGGGAGGTGTGGGGGGTGGAGCTGCTCCCAGGACTGCCCCACTCTGGGTAAGGCACAGCAGTTTGGGGAGGGGGCAACACCCTCATGCCCCCTGAACTCTCCCTTTGGGCTCAGGGCTTCAGCCCCACTGCTCCCAGCTTCAGTGGGAAAGAGCTTAGGGTTTTAGCTCCCTGCCACTGACTTCAGAGAGGGAAGCGGAGCTCAGGGTTTCAGCCCTGCGCCACTCCCAGCTTCAGCCCCACCGGAAGGTGCCAGAGATGGGGCTTCAGCCCTGTAGTGGGGAGAGGAGGGTGTGTTTGAGGCTTCACTGGGGTTTGGGGTTCCAGCGGTGGGGCCCCACCAACCCCCTGAAAGGGGTCATGGATCCTCAGGGGGCCACAGACCACCGGTTGAGAACCGCTTCCTTAAAGGACAGAGCATCACTTTGTAATCATTGGCGTCTATGTACAGGTTTACCCAAGAGGGATAAGATAGCATCTCATGAGGCCTGATACAGTTTACAGTGACCAGTATTACACCTAGGGAAGGATCAAAGCAAGGAGGCATGATCTACTGGTTAGAGCAGGGGCCTGGGAGTCAGGTGCTCTGAATTCTATTGCTAGTTCTACCACTCTCTGACCTTGGCCACATGACCTCTCCACCCTAGCATTTCCCCTCATTTATAAGGTGGAGATATGAACCTGGCGTGCGACTTGTTCACAAAATGCTCTGAGCTCCTCGGCTGAAAGGCACGACGGAAGTTCAGTGTATTAAGAGTACTGGGACACGGCGCAGCCAAAGAAACGCAGCCGCACGTATCTGGAGCCTTGCTCCATCACACAGAGCACCAGACCCAGATGCACTTCCTTTCTGGTTTGCAGCAGACACGCTGCAAGCATTCACCTTGCTGGCCTAGTGCTGCCTGCTGTGGGACTTCATGAGAGAACCAATAGTTATGTTAAGTCCAGGATTAAAAAAATCCACTTGCCGGTCACCTATTGCAAGCCTTCCCTGGACAGCATGGGGATCTAAGCCATCAATTTTATATCTACCTTTGGCTACACGTTTAGTCCTCTGGCTAGCACCCACATATTCCTGTATTAACCACCAAGAGTGCGCTCGGTGCTGTTCAAGACCTGATGCATGCCTGGAGAAGCTTACATTCTAAACGGATAGGTTACCCAAATCAGACAACCCGGTTCTACTGCAATTCCAGCTAAAACGATTTAAGACAATAAAACTAAGATGACTTAAACTAAACTGTTCAACAGAAGCACGCCTGAGACAAACTCGCAACCACGACATCCTGCAGAGTTCCCATAGCTCTAAAACCATTTTAAAGGCGAGAGGACAAATGCAAATAGTTAACAGTAACCACTTTTACTCCCAGGGCTGCTTTCTCACTGCAGGGCAAAAATGCTGAAGTGTTCTGCTGCAGAAGATGCAGCAGTGCCCCGCAACAAAAGAGTTAAAGTGACATGTATGAAGTAATAAGGGCAATAAATTGTGTGGCTACAGCTTTAAAGGCTCTATAAACCCACCATTAAAGATGGTATGGCTGCATTTTTGTCATGGCTGCCAAAGGAATCATACAATCCGTCACTTTCATGGGTTTTTCTTTGTAAAGAACACCCAGGACTTGACATTGTGGGATTCTTGCATACTGGCGGGTGGATGCAATGAACCATCAAGAACCTCATTCAACTTGGCAGCTCTCATGGTTCGAGTGGGAGACAGAACGAAGAACTCAGCAATATATGAAACCAGATCAGTAAATTCTTAGCAAGAATTTAAATCCTCCACAGGAAAGGAAAGATTCCTTTTAAAGAAACATATATGGCCCTATCCTGTAAAGTGTTATTAATCTGTCTTTTAAGATGCCTATCACATTGCTAATTTCCATAGGAGTAAATGGAATTCACATTCTGCAGGATCACACCTCTACACAGTACATTTCTCAGAGCAGGGATCTTGCAGCCCAGCTAGGTACACCAATGATGTTATAAACTGATCTTAAACGGGAGTTACGCTGGATTTCAGACGTTCTAATATAATTCTATAAAAGTGCGAAGTATCTTTTATCTGAGGTTTTGAAAGTTTTACACAAGGTGGATATCATCCCTGTTCTACATCTGGGAAAACAGAGCTAAGTTAAGTGTCATGATGAAGGTCATATAACAAGTCAGTGGCAAAGCTGGAACTACAGCTCATGCCTCCTGACTCCCAATCCTGTGTTCTAAACATTAAACGTAACTGCCTCTATGATAGCGTGTATGTTCAAGGCTGTCCGCTCTCACCACACACTTGCTCAATTCAAGTTATTTGGACTAAAGGGGGCAAATGATGATTATTTCAAGTAAGATGTCCAGACCTGAGTTGTTCCTGAATTCCCATGATTTTGCCCTCATCATGACAATCCTGCAATGGTTCCTAAGATGTACCCCGAAAAAATCATAGATAAAATGGCATAAAGCAAATGCCACCAAAGGTCTTAAAATATCATTGTGGACAATCATTCATTGTCCAAAAGGATACACACCAGAGTTGTGGTTTGACTTTGATGGAATAATAATAATGGAACACATTTTGAGATCTCAAATTAATAAAGGCATAGACTGAAACCCACTCCATATGACTTATGAGAAATATGACAGCTTGAAAAATACATCCCTGCATGTTTCAGATCCTTGTCTTGACCCTGTGCTTGCCTGGACAAGAGCGCTAGGAAAAAATGCAGAAGTTACAACTTCTTCTCTTATATCACCATGACAAAGGGTCAAAGATTATACAGAAATAAAGCCTATTTGACTCATTTTTAAAAACATAAAAGCAGTGTTTAGATTATTATAAAGTAAAGGCAGACACCACATCAGCAAACCAAGTCTCTGAGATAAGTAGAACCAATCCAGAAACAGCTGGTATTGCATGGAAGTATGGACAATGCAGAGTAGAATGGAAATCTGCAGGCCGGCAACTGTTACAGAACGAGCAACATGGTGATTTTAGTGGTATGAAGCAACAGAATTTGCTTATGCTCAAATAAATTGGTTAGTCTCTAAGGTGCCACAAGTCCTCCTGTTCTTTTTGCGGATACAGTCTAACACGGCTGCTACTCTGAAACCAGAATTTCTGAAGGCAGTACTTTGCTACCTCAACTGTAAGAGCTTTATTAGATAAAAACAGTGTCATGTCCTCCAAGCTTCCTCCAACAGGAAGAGCTCCTCAGTATGAAGCCTCATGACAAATGAGAAACTTTGCAAGAGACAACCTCTAACACACAATATTTTGCTCTATACAGGCCAGGCAAGAGCTGCGCTTTAACAGGGTCAGCTGAGGGCTGTGTGTATAATGTGGTTGCCATGTCTTGGCAAGACTCTTTGCATTAGACGCTTGTAAGGAGAAAGGTGATTTGTTTAGAACTAATGGCAGGTTTCAGAGTAGCAGCCGTGTCAGTCTGTATCCGCAAAAAGAAAAGGAGGACTTGTGGCACCTTAGAGACTAACAAACTTATTTGAGCATAAGCTTTCGTGAGCTACAGCTCAGCCTACCGAAACTAATCAGGGATTGATCAAAGCTAGGTGGCTATTCAGATTCCTATTTTATCACAAGTGGACAAGGATGAAAGACGAGCATGTCAGTTTGTAAGGGTCTATTCAATGTCTGAAAGCTGGGGGGAAGTAGGAAGAAGCAAGTCTCATTTTGCACAGGTTACCACTATTCTGCACACACAAGGCAAATCTCTTCAAAGAAACCTTAGAGTAATAGATAAGAAGTGGAAGAGGCATGAGAATGGGTCCCTTCCCCCAAGCCTGACACGGGGCCTGTCCAGTGTTCCTGCATGATGCACAGTGAGTGTGCAGAACGGGGGCTGGCAACTCCACCCCACTAGGAGAGGAAGTACACTTCAGAGATAACCCCAATGCCTTCTGTGCAAACACTGGTTTTGCAGGGCCTGGTCGACACACCAGCGTCGCACGGCTTTAACCATACCAGTATAACGCAGCACAAACCCCCAGACGCGGATGCCGTTACACCAACACAAAAGCGCTCCTACCGGTTTAGCGGATTCCCCTTTAGCGGGAAGGGGGCTAAAGCGATCCCTGAATAAGCACCTTTACGCTGGCATAACTGCACCCGCACCGGGAACACCGTTTCCGTACAAACCACCCCCCTGTCTCCCCACCCGCAGAGCGGGCCTAGAGGTGCCCTTGCTGCCTGCGGGCAGGATCTCCCCATGTCCTGACACAGGGGCCGCTGCTCAGGTAACTGGGGGCACTTGGGCTGCCCGGCTGAGACCCACCCGCTCCCCCCCCAGAACCGCCCCTGGAGCGGGGGGGGGGCCGGAGCTGAGCCACTGCTGGGCCCGAGAGGGGCCGGTTCCCCCGCGCCGGGCCGGGCCCCGGGCCGCCGCCGCCCTTCCCCGCCCGGCAGGGCTCGGCCCGGGGCCCAGGGAGGGGGCGGCGCCTGCCCGGCACCCACCCCCGGGGAGGGTGCGGCCCCAGCGGCTGCGGAAGTGCCGCACCCCGGGCGGGCGGCGTGTCTGCCCCCGGCTCCGCCCGAGCCTCCCCCGCCGGCCCCCCGGGGCTGCTCCGGGCCCCCCCCGGCCCCCCCCGGGCCCCCCGGGCCCCGCTTCCGCCCCCTCACCCGGCGGCCGCGCCCTCGAACTTGAGCGCCAGCGTCTCCTCGATGATGCGGTTGTTGACCTCGAGCAGGATCATGGCGGGGCCGCGGGGGGCCGGGGCCGCCGGGGGCCGGGGCGGGGCGGGCGGGGGGTCTCAGGGACCGAGGCCGGGGAGGGAGCCGAGCCCGCTGCGCGCACCGGGGACCCGCCCGAGCCTGCGCCGCCGCTTCCGCTCTGTGCCCCGCCCCCGCCGCCGTCACTTCCGCCCGAGGGCGGGCAGGTGCGCGCGGCTCTGCGGCCGGTAGGGGCGTGCCGCTCGTGCGCGTGGGGGGGAGTCGGGCTGGTGCGCGCGGGATCCACGTTAGCCTTCAGAATCCGAATTAGTGCACAGGCTCCCGGGATCCACGTTAGCCTACACGATCCGAATTAGTGCACAGGCTCCCGGGATCCACGTTAGCCTACAGGATCCGAATTAGTGCACAGGCTCCCGGGATCCACGTTAGCCTACACGATCCGAATTAGTGCACAGGCTCCCGGTTAGCTACAGGATCCGAATTAGTGCACGGGATCCACGTTAGCCTTCAGAATCCGAATTAGTGCACAGGCTCCCGGGTAGCTACAGGGTCCGAATTAATGCACAGGCTCCCGGTTAGCTACAGGATCCGAATTAGTGCACAGGCTCCCGGTTCGCTACCAGATCCGAATTAGTGCACGGGATCCACGTTAGCCTTCAGAATCCGAATTAATGCACAGGCTTCTGGTTAGCTACAGGATCCGAATTAGTGCACGGGATCCACGTTAGCCTACACAATCCGAATTAGTGCACAGGATGGGCTGGTGTGCACGGGATCCACGTTAGCCTTCAGTGTCCAAATTAGTGCATGGGGTCTGAGTTAGCCTACAGGAGCGTGATTAGTGCAGGGGATGGGCTTGTGCAGGATCCAGTCTATTCAAATCTTTTCCGGGGGTGCGGGCCAGAAACGTGGACAAGAGTGATCCAGTGGATACTGTGTACTTGTATGTTCAGAAAGCCTTTGAGAAGGTCCCTCACCAAAGGCTCTTAAGCAAAGTAATCTGTCATGAGGTTAGAGGGAAGGTCCTTTCATGGATCGGTAACTGGTTAAAAGACAGAAAATGAAGGGTAGGAAGGAATAAATGGTCAGTTTTCAGAATGGAGAGAGGGTAATACTGGTATCCCCCAGAGAACTGTATTGGGAGGAGTGCTGTTCAACGTATTCATAAATGATCTGGGAAAAGGGATAAAGAGTGAGATGGCAAAATTTGCAGATGATACAAACTTAGTCAAGATAATTAAGTCCAAAACTGACTATGAATTGTTACAAAGGGATCTGACAAAACTTGGTGATCAGGCAACTACATGGCACATGAAGTTCAGTGTTGATAAATGCAAAGTAATGCACATTGGAAAATGTAAACCCAACTGTACATATAAAATGATGGAATCTAAATTAGCTGTTATCACTAATAAAGAAAGAGATCTTGGAGTCGTTGTGGATAGTTCTCTGAAAACATCTACTCAATGTGCAGCACCAGTCAAAATGAACAGAATGTTAGGAACCATTAGGAAAGGGATAGATAAGACAGAATATATCACATTGCCTCTGTATAAATCGACACCCACATCTTGAATGCTGAGTGTAGTTTTTGTCACCCCATCTCAAAAAGATATATTAGAATGGGAAAAGGTGCAAAGAAGGGCAACAAAAGTGATGAGGGGGTGGAACATTCTCCATATGAGGAGAGATTTAAAAAAGTGGGACTTTTCAGCTTGGAAAAGAGATGACTAAGGGGGGGATATGATAGAGGTCTATAAAATCATGACTGGTGTGGAGAAAGTGTATAGGGAAGTGTTATTTACTCCTTCTCAAAACACATGAGCCAGGTGTCACCTAATGATTTAATAGGCAGCAGGCTTAAAAGAAACCTAAGGAAGTAGTTCTTCACCCAATGCACAGTCAACCTGTGGAACTCATTGCCAGGGAATGGTGTGAAGTCCAAAATTATAACAGGGTTCCAGAAAGAACTAGATAAATTCATGGCGGATAGGTCCATCAATGGTTATTAGCCAAGATGGTCAGGGAGGCAACCCCCTGCTCTGAGGGTCCCTAGTTTCTGACTGCCAGAAGCTGGGAATGGTGACAGGGGATGGATCACTGGATGATTCCCTGTTCTGTTCATTCCCTCTGGGGCACCTGGCCCTGGCCACTGTTGGAAGACACGATAGTGGGCTAGAGCCCCCGGCCCTTTAAATTGTTGCCACAGCCCCGCTGCTGGAGCCCTGGGGTAGCAGCAGCGGGTCTGGGGCGGCGATTTAAAGGGCCCGGGGCGGTAGTGGCGGCCGGAGCCCCGTCCCCAGAGCCTTGCCGCCGGAGCACTGGGGAAGCGGGGACGGGGCTCCGGGGACGATTTAAAGGGCCCAGGTCTCTGGCTGCCGCTACCGCCCAGAGCCCTTTAAACCGCTGCCAGAGCCCCCGGCTGCTGCTGTTACCCTGGGGAGGCAGAAGGAGGCACTTGCCGGTACAGGGTGGGCCAGGGCTGGCTCTGACCTCCCCAGCCCCGCCCCTTCTGGGGGCCAGAGCCAGCCCCCTTCCAGCCCCGTACCCGTAAGTCCCTAGACTTACTTTCACCCCTGGCTAGATGGACCATTTGTCTGACCCACTATGGCTGTTCTTATCATCCACATTAATGCATGGGATTGGCTTGTGTGCATGATATCCCAGTTAGCCTACAGGATCTGCATTAGTGCATGGGATGGGCTTGCTTGCGCATGATCCTAATTAGCCTACAGGATCCACATTAGTGCGTGGGATCTGCTTGTGGACATAGGATCTCTGTGTGTGCATAGGATCCCAAATAGCACACAGGATCCACATTAGTGCACACATCTGCTTGTGTGCACAGAATCCCAAATAGTGCACCAGTTCTTTTTTGTATAGCATCACAATTAAGCACGCAGGGTCTGCATTAGTGCATGGGATCTGTGCACAAGTCCTGCATGGGCTTGCATTCGTGCATGGGATGAGTGCATTTGCATTAGTGCATGGGATGAGTACACGAGTCCTGCACCAAGAATCTGATTGTGCACAGAATCTACCCGAGGGCACAGACCATGGGATCCACCAGTAAACTGTGCGGGATCCACAGTAATGCAAATTACCTGTTTGTGTGCAGAGAGTACAGTCTGCATTGCTGCACACACAAAAAACACAAACTTCACTAACGCTTGCCACCTGCTGGTGTGCACAGAATCGGTACAAGCACACAAGCATTGCTCGTGTGCAAAGAAACCACCTGGGTGCCCTGATTGCCAAGTACTCCAGGGATCCAGGTAATAGATCTTTTGTTTCATTTAGCTACATGGAAAATAATTGTCAGTAAAAAGTAGGAATGTAAGTGTTGACGCATTTACTGTGGGGATCATGATAAATATGTTCCTAGAGAGATTTGAATCAGGAGATGGTGTGGGTTGAACCCAGGACTGCCAGCACCTACCATTTGATCAAAAAGAGTAACTCTGAGCAGGCAAGTCATAGAAATTTGTCCTCTTATATGAAATAGCCATTAACGTGTAGGTGGGACTCATCAAACCAGTGAGTCCCACACAGACTCCGTTAGTATCCCCAGTGTACAGTTCACTTTAGTACAGTGATTGCACTTTGTGTGTTATCTGTACTGCTCATTTGTGCATCTAATGCACAGAATCCAGGTGAGCGCCCACAAACCCACGAGGGTGCATGGCTCCCAGATACACATCACTGGCTGGGCAGCACACAACACGCCCTTTGTGCGCACAGAATGTGGCAACGTGCCGATAGGGGGTCTCTGGCGAGCTCTGCATGGAGCAGTTGCCTTCGCATGCAGCTCAAGCAATCGTGTGACCAATAATAAGTAGCTCCCATTTATACTTTCCTATTCCAAAGTCATTCTCCCAAGGGTTCAAGTAACTCCCACGGAAGTCATCCTACAAGGGTGGCCTTGGGAAAATTGAGATCTCATCTAGAACCCTGCCCCCGCTGCCGCCCCTAGGAGTTCCGATGCGCAATTTGAACACTGAGATGCCAACTCCTGAGGACTTTGGAATCTATTTTGTATTTTATTTTATTTTCATGTATAAATCTGCATCTGACAGGACATTGCAACAAAAAGACACACATCAGGAAGCACAAATCTGGGTGCAGAGACTTCCCCACCCCAGTAAACTAACCCTCCCTAATAAGCAAACAGGTGGAGTCGTCCTTCCTCTGCCAGTTAAGGGCTGGCAGAGACCTGGGTGGTGATTGCACGTGGACGAGAACATTCCTCTGCATCTTGTTACCTTTACGTGTTAAAAGCTTTGTTTGGAATTTGGCACTTAAAGACCACAAGTTCTTTATGGGAAAAATTTCAAAGCTAGGAGGGGCCGAGGAGAGCAGGATGTGAATTGTGTTGCAGGGCAATGGGCTGGATCATCAACTTGGATCATCAAGAGTCAAGTTTGTTAATCTACAGGACAGGGGCACTATGGCCAAGCGGCAGGGCTCAAGCTTCCCCAACCCATCCCACCAGAGTCCCTTGCCCCTGCCCTGAGGCTCCTGAGCTTAGAGCAGTGGTTCCCAAACATTAACAACCTGTGAACCCCTTTCACTAAAATGTCAAGTCTCACAAACCCCCACCTAAAAATGAATATTTCCAGGGATTTTCTCCTTTACCTGAGTATAAATTATAAAAGCAGTGATCTTGGAAATATAACAATAATATATTTGTTTTTATGACATGCTTATTACACACTATTCATTATTAATTATTATTCATCATTACAGTATTTTTATTACATTATTAAAACGGCAAGACTCTTCCAAGATCTTTTGTAGCTTGTATCACTTTGAATCAGCCTGTTACAAGACAAGGCTCCTGTGTTTCGTCAAGGGGTATCAGATGTGGATCAGCAGGAAGGGATTTAAGAAGCCAACTCAAGGAGTTCCTCCTACACACGCAGTCAGGTCTTGAGCAGTCCAGGCAAACGACGCACGTTGCCACAAAGCTTAAACTTGTTCTTTGTCATAATTTTAAAAGCAATACGAGCTGCCTATTTAATTTTAAAAACAGCAAAAAATGTCCCCCTCCCTTTCCATTTCTTATAAGGAGTCTTGAAGTTTAAATCTCCTCAGTGTGATGGATATGCTTGCTTTGGTCTGCTTAGCTCTTGGAAGTCCAGGGGCTCCGGG